GTGGTTTTTAGTCAGTAAGAGTATGAAAATCACTCCCTCCTCACAGAGGCGGGCGAAGACATTCGATAATTTTCCCCCCTTAAAAAACTGTCATTTCATCATCATCATCATCATCAACAGTCTATAAATGCCCACTGCTGAGCAAAGCCTCTTCTCACACGGAGAAGGTTTGAGCATTAATCACCACGCTTGCTCAATGCGGGTTAGCGATTTCAAACTTATAATTAAAAATTACAAGCCCAGTTTCCTCACGATGTTTACTTGCACCGTTTGTCAGTGGTGTCTAGATAATCTTAGAAAGTATGTACATATAACTCGGAAAAAGTCACATTGGTACTTGCCGTTGGTAGGTTTCGAGCCCGCAACGCGGCGTGCATGCATGCGAAGGCGTCTTAAACCTCCGGGCCACCACGAACGACACACAAACTTTTCTTAATTATTAATTTATTAATAAGATTCGCGCAATTCTACGCAACGTAATAATACGCATGTACCATTGTGTCATGTCGATTTTAAAACAATGCAATCTTCATCACAAAAAGTCATATAACTTGGAAGATACAAACGAAAATGATCCTTATACCATAGGCGTAAAGTTACTTCTGCAAACGTTGTAAATAGAGGAGTGTGGGTGCGATCTACGTGTGTCAATGCCAAGCAAAGGAAATGCTACGTAGAGCCAAATAAAAAAAAAAATATGACTGAGATGAAACAAATGTGAACGAGATGAAAATTGGAACATCTTATCGCCGAAAACGGGCGAAACCGCGGGCAAATATTAGTTTATATTACTATTATTAATAAAATTATTATTCTGCTACACGCAAACTCACGAACTTCAGCAATTATAATATTAGTAGGTACCTACGATAAGAGTAATTCGTAATACTAATTATTAGGTACCTATGACAACTGGCCATTTGGACTACTTTCGATGTATAAAGTAAAAACAAAACATAAATATGTTATTTTTTAGTTTAAAAAATTGATAATTAATAATTATGCTTTAATACACGAAACACTAGACGTAAATTTATAGGCTCTATTCGCATCACATGTGCCACACGACGAGAATTACTTCTTCGAGAATTACATGGCGCGATGTTTTAATTATCTATGTACCTATGAGTTCGTATGCGCTTTCGAAGTTTGCTTTTTGCAATGGTTCACCAGTTATTTTTTGTTTTAAACATTTTATTTCTTTTTGAAACTATTGTATTACCGTGACACAACCATTTTAATTCGGGACGAAATCTAAATAAATTTCACGGTGTATAATTATTGTAATCGCAAACAAGTATTATTATATACATAACAAGTAGAAATACTTTGTTAGGTTGGTTTATAACTTAAAATACGCATAATATAGGTACTCACTTCAATATCGTAAAAGAGTAGCAATTGCAAATAGAATTTGCGTAAGAAAATACCTAATTTTCGTAAATATTATTAGTAGGAACTTTTTTTACAAGAAGTCGTAACCAAGGAGATTGAGAAACAAACTTCACTGCGTAAAACAACCACTTCGTGTACGTTGTTATGGTGTAAATCTACAATTATGTATATTTGTTCTTTATCTTCGTTATGAAAATAAAAACTGCGATATTCTGAAACACAAGAAACTAATGTTTGTTGACACAAAAGTTGACTGACGATAAGATTCGTTATACGCAAACATCTATTTTATAAAAAAATTGCGTTTAAAAAAAACCAACTTCAAAAACTAATGACAAACGATAAGTAAAAACTAAAAACGAAAAAATAACTATTATTGGTCATACATACTTATAGCTTACACACCCACTTATAGGTTAGAAGTCGGTGCCACAAGTTTTTTAAACAAAATTATTCATTAAAACCTTGGTATATACCTAACATTATTAAGCTGTTTACAATTTTTTTATGGAATATACCAGCTATGACCATTACCTACCTAAGACCTTTATATTTTGTTGTGGGTTTGTGGCACCGACTTCTAACCTCCTCCTTTTTTTAAAGTCGGTTAAAAAGAAAGACCTCTGGATTTGTTTAGCTGTTTCTTCTCAGAGTAGGTAGTAAATTGAATTATAAAATACCGACATAATCTAGATAGTTTCAAAATAATATTGATGAATATAAAGTTATAACATTTTTATTGTCTAGTTATAAAAAATTACAACTTATGTTAAAATTAATACCGTTACAAGCAAACATTATTCCATTCTATATTTTTCGCAATGTATATATACCTACTTATATTTCAATTTAAAGGAATAGTAAAATTAATTTTCAATTTCAAATTAAAATTATGTTCAATATGGATGTTGGATTTTATTACAACTAGGTACTTCAATTAAGTACGGTACGTGAAACGAAACGCATACAGTCATTCGCGTTTTTTTTAGCTATCATCATTATGACTGCATGCTGTGACCACGGTATTAATATCATACAGTATTCCAACTTCATACAAACGGACGAAACGCATTGTATGCCTTTGCATTTGGCATGATAACAGTCGCGACTGTGCCGCACTGACGAACGGGCTGTGTTCGCGCGATTTTTTTACTAAAAATAAGTTCAAGTACACATTTAATATGGCGAGTAGGTTGTGCTGTTTTTGGTTGTATTTTTTTGCAAATGTTTTCGGTCGCAAGTTTATAAGCCCGCTTTGATTTTCAAACAATAACATGTTTTTTTTAATTAAGTCTACCAATCAAAAAGCAACACGCATTTTTATTGAACACTTCCTTTTACATATACGAAGTATTTTATTTGTTTGTGTAAAATAAGGACAAAATTTAAATAGAAACAGAAAGTAGGCAAATGTAACTAAAATACTGGAGACGGGCAGCCCTGACGCACGTTTACGTACCGCGCATCTGTAGGTATTTAACACTGTCATGCGGCCGAGTTACACTACTGTATGACAATATTACCATAGTTTAAAGAAAAGGGGCGTCACGGCTGTACGGCAGTACGGCTGTAGTGACGAATGGACGATGTATGTTTTTTTTTTAAATAACAGCGCGAAGCTTCTCTAAAACTCAGTTCAAGTGTATATATATTTAATATGACAAGTAGGAAATATTGTGCTGTTTTTGGTTGTATTTTTTTGTGAATTAGGTACAGCCGTTTTTTTTTAAGGGGGGAAAATCATCGAAGGCGAACGGTTTTCCTTTTTAGTTTTTACATTTCGTTTGTCATTAGTTTTTGGAGTCGGTTTTTTTCAAACGCAGTTTTTTAATTTAATTTTATACTTTTTAGTTTAGTACTTTGATATATTATATTATACACAACCCACATGTATGCAAAGTTTTCATCAATACAAATTATGCAAATTCAAACACCGGGTGGGTACTCTTAACCATTGAGGAGTCCCTTAGCTATCATACTACTTCATCATTGGACGTTTAATGACCATCACCTCCGCCCGCCCCCATCTAGGTGTAAAGTCCTCATCAATACAAATAATTCAAACCCAAACACAAAATAGCTACTGTTAACCGTTAAGGAGTTCCCTCAACTATCCTACTACTTCATCATCAGACTCTTATTGACAATTACACCCCACCCAGGTGTAAAGTCCTCATCAATACAAATTAATCAAACCCAAACACAAGGTAGCTACTGTTAACCGTTGAGAAGTTCCCTCGACTGGCTCTCGGCTCCATCATCAGATCGGCTTCAGACCTTTATCAGATTGTAGTGGTTTTTGAAAAATACTTACTGAAAAATTAAAAGTTTCCCTCGGTTTCCCTGGTCTTCCATCATCAGAAACTGATATCCTTATCATGGCACCATTCTGGAACTACCTCCTGTCTAACAAAAAAAGAATTTTCAAAATCGGTTCATAAACAACGGAGATATCGGCGAACACACATAAAAAAGCATATATACGGTCGAATTGAGAACCTCCTCCTTTTTTTGAAGTCGGTTAAAAAACTATACCCGAGTAGAAAGAAACCTCAATATTTTAAAGTATTATATTTTTAGAAGTAATCAAAGTAAAGAGATTGATGAATGTAGATAATATAGTGAACAAGGAATTAACTCGTCGAGTACCGGTTTTATAGACACAATTAAAAAACATTAGGTCGCGGTCACCGGTGACCGCTTGGTGTTTGACAGTTTAATTATATTATGCTAGTGACAACGTGTGCTCCATTATTACTGGTAACTGCCCTGTGCCTACCCCATTATGCGTGACGTGACGATATGTACAGCTTGGCTACGCGCCGAGAGCTGGAACTAATCATGATCTAATACTGACTTGGACTGAATCACCCACTTCGGACCATATCCCATGAATAAACAATCATGAGAAAATAGAGTCTCCTCTTTTTAAACTCTATAAAAATTTAAATAACAAATATCAAAACCAGTTAGGACCTAATCGTAGTGTTGCCACAGATACGATAGTAGCGACCTCTATCATTCCGAACTCTTTTTTGCCAAGCTGTATGTCTGTGTAGTGTGTTATTTTTTTTTTATGTTCAAATATACTCCATATATCTAAAAACTCAAAACCAAGTAACGGTATTACGGTGTTCCAAATCTGACTACATTGATCCGTTCCAGTAACTCTTTTGCTTACTGGTTGCCAAGCGGCAACTCATAGAAAAGGTGCTTTTTATTATTTTAACTGTATCGTTTCTAATTTTATGTTGTAGTCAAGTATCAAGTCAAGACTGCTGAAAAAAAGGTTTTTAACGTTTTTTCCTTAAGTTGCAACATTAATGACATTAGACATATTTTTTTTTATTATAGAAGCACTATATCTGATGTCATTTTATTGTGTTTCAGTACCCGAGGAGAATTACAATATAATACATGAGAGAAGGACAAAAATGATAAATATTGGAACGAGTAAGAAAGATAGCGATAGTTTCTGTTGATAATATTAAATTTTGTCACAGAAACGTTGATTGTGGAAAAACGTACCCGAATGCGGATTTATCGATAGTGAAATAAATAGAAATTGTCGCTGAAAACCGAATTAAATAATTGAATTAGCAAATATGGAGCTTAACGATGTGATTGTAAACCAGCCCGTCGTAATTGATAATGTAAATATCTACTTTGTGAACTCCAATTTTGTTACGCTTACGAATTCGTGTCGAGTCGACGATGCAAATTTTATTGTCAATATTTTATTAAAATCGATATGTGAATGTTAGAAAATTAATTCTAGTCTTTTATTTGATAGTTTTTAACTGTTCCTAATAGTTTTCCAATAAGATTTCATACAATAGTTGTCGAAAATGAGTCATAGTTATTATAAATGTCATATTCCATTTCTGTCGGGGTGTCGATGATTATTTATTGTTGTCACGTTTCGACAGGGCTCCGGAGTGATCAAAGCCGGTTTTGCTGGCGATCAGATACCAAAATGCAGATTCCCCAATTAGTAAGTAACCCTTGAAACTTCATAAATAAGTTACTAGTTATGCTGTCTACATAAAAATATATAAATGTGAAAGTTTGTGGAGAATGTCTGTTTCTTAGCCGTGTGCATACAGTAGAATATATTTGTTACCACCCCTACTCCTCTTGCGGGTGTCATATACCCAAATAAGTCACAACACATTTCATAGAGAGCGGGCAGCAGTATTTCTAACATACACCCGTTGTCTTCAACCTCTCCTTAATTGAAACAAAACCCCCAAGCAAATAAAGGTACCTTAACATCATTTTTAGTTTTGACTAAACTGCAGGTGACACCTTGCAGTACAAATGTGGGGTTAGTTAAGTGACAGTTTATTCAGTTGGTTAACTGAGCTCCTATTAATCGTAGTGTGATGTTTTATAGCTTATAAATACCTTGTTCGAAAAAAAAATCCAACCTAAATACATTTCATTTGAACTAAAAGAAGCTAATTGACTGCCTTGTTGGCCGAGTGGTCGCAAGTGCGACTGCTGGGCAAGGGGTCTCGGGTTCGATTCCCGGGTCGGGCAAAGTATAACTGGGTTTTTAAAAAATTCTCAGTAGTAGCACGGAGTCTGGAATTGTGCCCGCTATATGGCAATAGGCTCACCCCCTATTACATGGCACTCATAATATAAATTGTGAAAAGTGGGTGTTACATTGTACAGTGGCATAATGTGCACCTCTGCCTACCCCTTCGTGGATAAAAGGCGTGATGTTATGTATGTTATGTTATTTCATAATTCCACAGCATCGGACGACCGAAACACGTGAGAGTGATGGCTGGAGCGCTAGAAGGGGAACTCTTCGTCGGTCCCAGGGCTGAGGAGCATCGAGGACTCCTGAGCATCAAGTATCCCATGGAACACGGCATCGTCACCGACTGGAATGATATGGAAAGAGTGTGGAATTATATTTATAGCAAGGTAAGATCATTTTCCATCATCAGTTAAGTGTGGGAGAGCCATGCTTCGGTACGAATGGGCCGGCTCGACATTAGTGATACCACGCCCTCATAGAAAACCGACGTGAAGCAACGCTTACGTTGTGTTTCGTCGTGTGAGTGAGGTTACTGAAGGCCCAATTACCCTCCCCAATCTCCACAATTCCTGAATCCCCAACGATCCTCTCAAACTCCTAATCCCGAAAACGCCGGTAACCCACTTGTAACGCCTCTGGTGTTTCAGGTGTCCATGGGCGGCTCAGATTGCTTACCATCAGGTGATCTGTACGCTTACCGGCTCGTGCCATAAAAAAAAAATCATTGACCATCCTTATTCTTCCTGCAGGTCTCATATACCTGATTGAACTGTTCAATGAATAGATATACAGCAACACTGATATAACTGAATATTATAAGTGCGATGTCCAAACAAAATGTTTACACTTTTCTCAAATCTTACTTGTTTGTTTGTTTGTTTGTTTGTTTGTTTGTTACTTAATCACGTCAATACGGCTGAAGGGATCGTGATGAAATTTGGAACAGGGATACATTATGGTCTGTTATAATACGCAGGCTGCTTTTTATCCCTCCGTAACGCAGGCGAAGACGCTGCAAGGAGCTAGTGTACGGCCGGGCAAGGGGTCTCGTGTTCAATCCTCTGTCAGGAAAAGTGTTACTAAGTTTTTTTTTAAATCTCAGTAGTAGCACGGAGACTGGAATTATGCCCGGTATATGACAATAGGCTCATCCCCTATTTTCTTTTTTTATGTTAGATGGGACTGACGTTTGACCCCTATCTCGCCTGGTGGTAAGCGATGATGCGGTCTACGATGGAGCACGTCGTCCCATAAGCAACATATTCACTTAGGACTTGAAGACACCCAGGTTATATATCCTTCAGGAAATTCAGACTCTGGCAAAGAATTCCACTCCTTAGCAGTACGCACCAGGAAGCTTGATGCGAAGCGCTTCGTGCGTGTGGGCGGAACATTTACCATGAATCGGTGACGCTTCGCCAATTGTCTTGTGGTACGATGATGGAAAGGACTAGGGGGAATCAAGTGGTGCAATTCCCCCATTATTACATGGGACTCGTAACATAAATAGTGAAAAGTGGGTGTTACATTGTACAGTGACATTAACCCCTCGAGCGCCCTTATGAGCACCCGGTGAATCATAAGAAAAAATGCTCCAAATGTCACGTGTGCACCCGTTGGATCATAAGGAATGCGGACGCTCGACGGGTTAAATGCGGTAATATGCACCTCTGCCTACCGCTTCGGGCATAAGACGTGATGTTATGTATCTGTTACTTTCAGGATCAACTATCAACATTCTCCGAAGAGCATCCAGTTTTGCTGACCGAAGCACCTTTAAACCCCAGACGGAATAGGGAAAAAGCAGCCGAAGTATTTTTTGAAACCTTCAATGTACCAGCATTGTTCCTGTCCATGCAAGCAGTGCTTAGCTTGTAAGTATATTTCAATCCAATCAATCATTATCTATATATATAAAAGAAAGTCGTGTTAGTTACACCACTTATAACTCAAGAACGGCAGAATAGATTTGCCTGAAAATTGGTATGGAGGTAGCTTAGAGCCAGGAGACCGACATAGGATACTTTTTAACCTATACCTTTTTTTACTTTTTACCGAAAATCACGAACGGGGACGGGACAAAATGGGATTACGCGTACGAAGTCGCGGGCAGAAGCTAGTTTATAATAAAAACAAATTTAGTCATTGGAATTTATTGCACTGTTTTATAAATAAAACTGTACATAATTAAAACAAATATAGTAATTGGAATTTCACCCCCTTCCTGACGACACATCGATCTGATATTTGGTACACACTCTTAACACTAGAAAGACGGAAAAAGTCATCTACCTACAAAGACGGCGAGCGGTCAAATGACTGCTCCAAGTTTTTTGATATTTTTTCATGTTTAAGTGCTAGAAATGGTACCTATAGTATTAAACATGGTATAATATAGTGTTAATTAAGTAATATGTATAGAATTTCTAATTTTATCATTTTGTTTACATTACAAAAGCCGCAAAGTGGCTTTTTGCAATTGTCGCATTCTTTATGGTTTTTGTATTTGCATTTGTGTATACAATATTTTGGAATTTACTGGATTTTGTGCAGAAGATTGTGAAGTAAAAGATCTAGACTCTTCAGGCAAGAATTCAGTTTCAGAGAGTGTTCTTCAATTTATACTTTGCTTCTAAGTTCACCCCCTGAACTTAGTATAAATAGCCTTTGTTTCATGTAATATTCTACATTTTCCTATACCAAATGAAGGAATTATATCTAAAAAGGAAAATTATCTAAGTTATGTTATATCTTTGCTAGGTCTCAAATATAAAAAAAAAATGTATTTCACCTTTGAGATGCTCGTAACATTTTGACCAGTATTTGCAAAAAGTTTCACAAGACGCATCTGTATCAACGGATTCATCGACATTTGACCACTTAGAGTAGATGCCATTTGAGGTGTGTACAAGAAATACAGTCGATAGTTGGGAAAGATCTTGATGCTCAGGATCTTCCAAACTCCTTTCACAGCCTTTATCACTATCACAGCAACGATTACAACCACGAGAACCCGACCTGTCAACGTCTGATAAATTTGCTCGAAGTATCTGGTCTTTCAGGTCACTTCCGTCCGTAGAGGAATTCGAACTGACAAGTAGTACCACATAATCGTTGTCGCTATCATGTTTTGTATTTTTAGAGTCAAAATCAGACTCATCTTCACAAATATTTTGGAAGTAACAAACATTTTTTTATTTTCAAGACTCCAACACGTTGCGACCACAAACTACTTTCAATAATTTGGTAAAAGTTCACAGACACTTGAAATGATACGGTCACATTTGATAAACAAACTATAAACAATGAATTAGTGTATGTAATTTGTATTCTACCCTCTCATATTACACTTATAAACACTCATTGGTTGTCAGCAGTCAAATGACTGCCGCCGTCTTTGTTGGTAGATCAAGATTTTAAATAATAAATAAAAGAGTTGTGATTTATTTTCATACATAGTTGCATTTAACTAGTAAAATAAATAAAAGTCGCAAGGTCTCAGTTTAAAAACTCAAATAGATTTCAAGTTATTCAACATTTAAAATCAAATTGCGGTCAAATGACTGCTCCCGTCTTTCTAGTGTTAATCTTGATGACCATCCTTACTATCCTTACTATCCTTACTAATATTATAAATCTGAAAGTGAGTTTGTTTGTTTGTTTGTTTGTTCCGCTTTCACGCCGTAACTACTAAACCGATTGCTTTGAATTTTTGCAGACGTAAAGTTAGAAGTCCGGATTAAATCATAGGGTACTTTTTAATCCCGATTATTGATATTCCCGAGGGAAAACAAGAGTATTGGTATAGATGGCGCTGTGTGTATTGGTATATGTCATATAGGCTACTTTTTATCGTTTTGTGACGCGAGCGAAGTCGCGGGTAAAAGATAGTACAATATACTACCCGCGACTTCGTCCGCGTGAAATAGCGACTTCTGTATAAATTGGGTTTTTGAATTAGTTTGAATTACTTAGGCCCAATTACCCTCTCCTTCCCCAATCTCCCCAATTCCTGAATCTCAACGATCCTCAAACTCCTAATTCGCCAAAAGGCCGGTAACGCACTTGTAACGCCTCTGGTGTTCTCGGTGTTCATGGGCGACGCCGATTGCTTACCATCAGGTGATCCGTCTGCTCGTTTACCGGCTTATGTCATAAAAAAACCAGCAAACTATCATAGTAAATTTGGTCTAAAATGAAAAAGACTAATACTTATTCAGCTCTGTGCAATTAGTTTTTTGATAATATAAAAAATACGAATTTAAGTGAAAATATTTTTATTTATTATTTTATGTACACACATCCAACACAGAGGACAATACATAATAAAAAACAGAGTACATAGGCCCCACATATTCCAACTGGAATTTCTTCCTGTGGGCCTGTGGCAGGAAAAGAATTAACAATAATAAACAATAAAACAAATTAATATAATACAATTATAATACATATATAAAGTAATACAGAAAAACAAATCTATATTTCAAGAGGAAAGATAATGTTCTCTCACTTGTCTCTTAAAGTTAGAGATAGACTTGGCGTCCCGAATGTTCGGCGGGAGCGAGTTCCATAGTCTCACTGCATGAACGGAGAAGGAGTAGGAGTAGAAGTCGGTATTATGGGGCACAATTTTAAGATAGGATTATTTCTTAGGCCTTTGAGTAAACATAGTTTCCAAATGGTTAACTCAAACTCAAAAGCATTTATTTCAATTAAACCATAATTTGGTACTTTGAAACGTCAACAAATATGGGTCAGTCTGTCCGTCAGTGAAGCTAGGCGCTCGTTCCAAAATGTCGATTCGAGTGGAGAAGAACGAGCAAGAAACTCCATTCGTTACTCTTTTAAAAAAAAGTCTGTTTTACATTGCTCTGATACATATTCCAATATTGTACACACATGTGAGAATAATGTATAGACATACCTGACGCAACATACAAATAACAGAACGTACTAAAATAAAAAAACAAAACCAAGAGAAAACAAATATCTTAAGTCTGACATGGTCCTCACATATGTATACTGACAATCCATATAAAATAGTGCTTCTATACAAGAAAAAAATTAATAAATAAACTCTTGTTTAAATAAAGAAAGAAATGCTCGATGCCACAAGGAAAATAGATTGCCTTCATCGGAATCAAAGTATTAAATTACCTATTATCGTAATCTGAACTAGGTGCTCGTGTATATGAGCTCCGAGCACGGCTCGAAAATGATCCAGTTATCTCGAACAGTGACGTGAGATATATTTCTGTTAAATATACATATGTTTTTTTACAGATACGCGACCGGTCGTACGACGGGTGTAGTGTTGGACTCCGGTGACGGGGTCACGCATTCAGTTCCCATCTACGAAGGTTTTGCGATGCCACACAGCATCATGAGGGTCGATGTCGCCGGCAGGGATGTTACTAGATACCTCAGGTATATTGTTTCGTCATGTGTAGCTTATTATACGGACCTGGTGGAATCTAGTTCTAATTCACCGAGGCAAGTGGAAACTATCGTTGTTTTCTTCTCCTCTTATAATATCTTCTGATTCACTTCGTTGCGGGAACCAAGACAGTTGTTCATGTCCCTGGGACGTTGGACTTCAGTGTTCCGGTGTTTGCATGGTTGTATCTACTGTAGATCCTGGCTTACAGGAGTTGCAGCGGTTTTGGGAGGTTGTGGCGGGCTTGTCCTAATGAAAAAACATAACATCACCCCTTTTATCCTCGAAGGGGTAGGCAGAGGTGCACATTATACCACTGTACAATCATGTAACACCTACTTTTCACTATTTATGTTATGAGTCCCATGTAATAGGGGGTGAGCCTATTGCCATATACCGGGCACAGTTCCAGACTCCGTGCTACTACTGAGTTTTTTTTAAAAAACCCAGTAATACTTTGCCCGACCCGGGAATCGAACCCGAGACCTCTTACCCGGCAGTCGCAATTGCGACCACTCGGCCAACGAGGCAGTCAAAAACAAAATAGGTATGAATATATAGGTACCTGGACACATAGATGGAGCCACTATATTTTTATTTTATTAAAGCCTCTATTGTCGTCGTCAGACCACCACAGATGGGGCCCAGTAGGGAAGATGCCCGATACGGAGCCGCGGAAGTCATAACGGGGTACCGGGGCTCCGGCTCGACGTGCAGAAGGAACGGGGTGGTTTTTAGTCAGTAAGAGTCTGACACTCCCTCCCGCCTCACCCAGGCGGGAGCAGTCATTCGATGATTTTCCCCCCTTAAAAATATATATACTTAAGTTGTAGGTACTTGAATATCGTGCCACTTTACAAACAATTTGTAGAGACAACTATATTTAATGCGACTTAAAATTAAGTGAATGCTTCGTTGCCCGAGTGGTCGCAAGTGCGACTGCCAGACAAGGGCTCTCGGGTCCAATTCCCAGGTCGTACAATGTATTACTGGAGTTTTAAAAATATCTCAGTAGTAGTACGGATTCTGGAATTGTGCCCGGTATATGGCAATAGGCTCACCCCCTATTACATGGGACTCATAACATAAATAGTGAAAAGTGGGTGTTTGTACAGTGGCATTAAGTGCCGTAATGTACACCTATGCCTACCCCTTCGGGGATAAAAGGCGTGATGTTATGTTTTAAGTGTGGGAGAGCCATGCTTCGGCACGAATGGGCCGGCTCGACCGGAGTGATGAAGTGACCTCACAGAAAACCGACGTGAAGCAACGCTTGCGTTCCGTTTCGTCGTGTGAGTGAGGTTACCGAAGGCCCAATTACCCTCCCCTTCCCAACTATCCTCAAACTCCTAATCCCCAAAAGGCCGGTAACGCACTTGTAACGCCTCTGGTGTTCCAGGTGTCCATGGGCGACGCGGATTGCTTACCATCAGGTGATCCGTCTGCTCGTTTACCTGCTTATGCCATAAAAACGTTGCTCAGTCACCCAATAACAGATAGTTTTATATTTTGTATCATATAATGGAGAATTGTAATAGAACAAGTACATTATATGTGATAACGTTTAACATTCTGAGGGGTAGGCAGTGGTCCAGGTACAACATTTCGCATAAGTACATTTTTTTAAATCTTGCTCGGTATATACGTTTCATATTTTTGAAGAGCTTTTTTTCGTATTCTGTAAAATATAATAAATATAATTAATACAAAATAGGTTGATATAGTAATTTGTAATTTTGACTTTCAACTTTGATCTTTGACTTTCAACGCCAACATGATTTTCAACTATGACTATGATTTTGACTTTCAACTATGATTTTCATCGTTTCAAAAGTACGTGTTTATGGTTTTGTTGAAATTAATGCTTTGACTTTGACTTTGACTTTTGACTATCAAATACATACCAGTACAATGAGTTTTCAGCATTACAGTGCAGGTTTCTTGAACGTTTTCGACGGCAATATAAAATTGTTCAATTTCCATACATAGCATAATTTGTAAAATTAACGCCTTAACCATCCATGCAATGCTCATAAAAATAAAAAACGTCAAGTTAGCTTCGTCATTCTGAAATAGAAAGAATTTATTTTTAAAGTCGCTACTTCCGCGCGGTTTCACACGCTCTGGTCAGCTCCTATTAGTGATGTCTTATAACCCATAGCCATCCTCGATAAATGCGCTATCCGACACAAAAAGAATTATTCAAATCAGACTTGTAGTTACGGAGATTAGCGCGTTCAAACAAACAAATAAAAAAAACAAACTCTTCCGCTTTATATAATAGTATAAGATGGGACAATCACCTCTCGCGCGCCTCTCGTACAGACGGGTAAACGCGCGTTCTCGTACACCCGTGTGTACAATTGCGCGATGGGCACTCAACTCTCTCGTACACCCGTGTGTACGAGAAACACGCGAGAGGTTAAAACCGTTGTAATCACCACAGAGGTGGATTGAAAAGAGAGCGCCCTAGACAAGCACCTCATCGGCGCCCCAATTGTTTTTGGCGCCGCCGTCACTCTTTGGTCAGTTGTACACGCGCGTCTCGCGGCGCCAGCAGCTCTAGCCAAATGCCATTTAGCGCTTGTCTACATGTAGAATAGAAAACCAAATTATATGGAATTGACGTAAATTTTGACACTTGTCAGTGTCATTCCCATACATTTAGTTTTCTACTCTCTCTGTAGACAAGCGCTAAAGTGGCGTTTGGCTAAAGGCACAGACGGCCCACTTGCCTACTTCGCATTTACATACATTATTGGGCGACATTGCATTTGCAAGTTAAATAACAAACAAATATACTTACAAGTTTCGCAATTTCTATAGTTCCACTTATATGTATTAGATTATAACTGAATGATGCGACGAAATGGAATAAAATCTGTAAATAATATTAAAAGAAGATTGCTGGATCAATTTCAAGACAATTTTCCTTTTAAGGGGGGAAATCATCGAATGACGCTCCCGCCTGGGTGAGGCGGGAGGGAGTGTCAGACTCTTACTGACTAAAAACCACCCCGTTCCTACTCCGGCACTTCGAGCCGGAGCCCCGGTTACCCGTTAGGTACTCCGCGGCAATTTCAAGACAATATCGAGACTTATAAACTTAAGTGGGATGTTTTTTTATGGGGTAACCTTGTAAACGGGTAGACGGATCACCTGATGGTAAGCATTCGGCGCCGCCCATGGACACCTGGAACACTAAAGGAGTTGCTAGTAGCATTTTGGTCGTAGCGTGATGTTTTATGATAACCTATAGCCATCCTCGATAAATGCGCTATCCAACACAAAAATAATTATTCAAATCAGACTTGTAGTTACGGACGATTAGCGCGTTTAAACAAACAAACAAAAAAAACAAACTCTTCCGCTTTAAATCTTTTATCTTTATATATATATATAATTCTTCTGTGAGTGTGTATGTCACTGAACTTCTCTCAAACGACTGGACCGATTTTGATGAAATTTTTTGTGTGTGTTCAAAGGGATCTGGGAATGGTTTAGATTTACAAATCAGCCCGGCAGATGGCACTGCAGTCGTGTTTAGGTTATTTATCCTAAACAGCTGAACTAATTTGAATGAATTTTTGTTTATACATTCAAGTGGATATGCAGGACAACGTCTGACGGGTCCGCTAGTAATAGTATAAGATTAAGATAATAAGATTCTTACCTGGGCTTGAAAACAAATTCTAGTTGCTTCATAAAAATCCAAAATATGTGTGAAAATCTCAATGATTTTGTCGTAATAACGTCGTCTGTCTATTGCTTCCGTTTGCCGCTCCAAAATTAACGAATTCATTAAAAACATTTTATGACATAGCATTTTTATTACTCTAGTAACACAGACTAATGGCATATCCATGTTTTCGGTAAAAATTCCAGTTAAAATATTATAATATTCACACGTATTGAATAGAATATTCATATATAATATCAAACTTATATTCGTTATCAAAGATATTACACTGCACCAGTTATAAAATATAATTTTTTTCGTCGTCATATCGTCCCTTAAAAATCGATTTATTTTCGTGAATTTTAATACCATATCCGTATGTAGTTTTTTATTTAAAATGCATGGTATAAAATTTAGCAATATTCCCGTCGGCTGGAATATTACATCGAAATAATTTATACCAATATTAGAAGGTATTGCAGACATTCTATAATGAAATCTTACGAAAAACATTAAAATTGACGCCATTACAAAAAATAATGTTATGAAAATCGTCGATCGACGAATTGGTACTATTGAATTATCTCTAAATGTGTATAAAGGACTGAAATAAAATCTCTGTAACACATCCAAAGGTAAAAATAAAGATTTCACGTCATTATCAACGAAATTATCGCAGAATATTTCGCGCGTAATCTTCGTTTTGCCGCCAACCGCCATCTTGTTCGAACTGTCAAAATTTAATTTTTTTTTTAAACGTTTTTTTAGCTTGCCCCGGTTGATTGTTTTAGGCCAATTAGGAATTAGAATTTTCCCCCCTTCCTGACGACAGATCGATCTGATATTTGGTACACACTCTTAATATTGATGACCATACAATATAATGTAATTTTGCCACAACTGTCAAACGTAAAGGATTGATTGTAGAATAGAGCTCATTGAAATCGTTTAACATAAAAAAAATATGAATAAGACACGGGCGTTTAGTATTGTGCCTGAATCAGACATATAATGGATTATAGTTATTTAGATTAATTATTAAGTTAAAAAGCAATATAAATAAAAGCAATGAAAACCAAGAATTGATGTTATCTTAAACATGTCTAGTTTAATATATTATATGAAGCACTGTTCTTTTGGTCATAGCCACTTATCATATTACTAGCGTCTGCGAGTGGCTTTGCCCGCGAGACTGTGGGATAAAAAGTAGCCTATGTGTTAATACAGACCATAATGTGCCCCTGTTCCAAATTTCATCCCGATTTCTTCAGCTGTTTTGATGTTATTGAGTAACAGACATACAAACAAACG